CACCAACGTGCATGGTGGGCACCGTGTTGGTGGGCGCCCGCCAATGATGTCCACCCGCCGCCGACGTCTGCCCACCGCCGATGTCTGTAGTGGCCTCACGTTGGCGCCCCGAGGGGATGCAATTACCCTGGCATGGCACCAGGGCGTCCCCGCGCGTGTCATGGCACCAGGGCATCCCCGCGCGTGTCGCGGCAGGCCCCTGCAAGAGGAGCGCGCGGGCCGGGCAGGGCCCATTAATCATTTCCAGGTTCCCTGCTGCTGCGCGGGTGAGCGTCCGTCATCGAAACGGGTCTAAGGGCGGAGGGCGTAACGCATGAGCGGGTCCTGCGGGTATAAGAGCGCATCCGTCCTGGCAGGGACCTGGCCAAGGAGCGGGCTGGGAGGCAGCAGGCACCGAAGGGAGTGGACGCCAAGGGAGCGCCTGCAGGTTCGTCTGCGTAAGGCTGCCCTTTGCTCTTTGCGGAGAGGTTTTCTTCTGTCCGGTGCAGCCTGCTCGTTCTCTCCATGAACGCAGGCTTATATCTGTCCGCGTAGATGTGTGCTAGTACCTGACAGTCGGCTGTGCTTGTGAGGGGTTTCCGTCCCCGCTGGGGCAGCGAGGCTCTGCGAACAGGTAGGACTGGTTCTGCGGAGCGGACTGGTCTGTACAGGGTCAGCTCCTCTGTGTGCTGTGCTGATGCTGCTGTACCGGGACTGACTTTGCACAGTGAAAATCATTGCTGTGTTGTCAGTTAGTTTTATTCTGGTGTTTTAACTTCACACCCCTTCTTTCATTAGGTAGAAATTGAAGGAAATATTGATGTTGATGAGCCTCTTACGTACAAAAGGGAACGTACACGAGGATAAGAAACGCGTAGAGCTGAATGCTGAGAACTGAGAGGAAAAAGTATATGTTCAGTGTAAAAGAGCTTAAAGACAAGTGTTTAAACATGGGGAGCTACTATAGTTAGACAGTTAGCTGAAGTCTGCTGTAATGAAAATGCAGATGCATCTTTTTCAGTGTGTTTAACAGAATGCATAGACTTATACCATCATGTCAGTATGTGTGAAGGCATTCAGATATTCTTGTGATTACATTAAAAATAAGCATAATGCATTGCTGTTGTTCTATCACTTTAAGTGTTACTTGCGAGTTAAGCATAGCACTAACTTGAGATTATAATTAGAAGAATGTTGACTGAAAAACTACTAGCAATTTAAATGAAATCTAATCCAATTTAAAATGAGGGATGTTACAGTTTGGGCTGGTACTGTCTTAGTTTGTACCAGTGCCTTGCAAAACTGGAATAGCTGAGTGTTAATCACACGCTGATTCTGCTGACAACAGCTTTCTTTGCAGCCATGTGCTGTTCACAGAAAATAGCACACTTAGCAAGGCTCTAGTTGCACACATAACAAACTGAAAACAGTCTTTTCGCTACTGTCTTTCTCAAGATTCCCTTTGCCACAGATTAATACAAGTTTCTGTGCTGAGGGCTAATATTTCTGTCATATTCATGTTCTTTAGCTCAATTTTTTGGTGCTCGCCTGTCATCTTTTAGGCCAAGTTTTAACAAGCATAGAAAAAGAGCTGGGCATTGCGATAACACTGGTTGTATATAAGAAAATCGTTACAGCTAGTATTGCTATCTTTCCACGTTAAAGCTGTTACTGTTCAGTTTGTTTTTTAGTCCAAGACCTAGCTTTATTTTTTGTGGGACCTTTTGTTGTTAAGACTTTAATCAAACAGCCCTTTTCCTCTGATTCTTATTCACAGTGAGTACACCTCACTGAAAAGCTTTGTCTGACTAAACTTCCAGCTGATATTTATTTCCTTGTGCTTTATTTCTCCACTTCTGTTTTTCTGAAGTGAGTAGGTTTCCTGGAAGTCCAACATGGCATCCTAGGTTTGTGTCAACAGTAATATTTGTGAAATGGTTCTCACCTAAATCTTAAATCCATGATTGTCCATCTCTTTCCAGGACTATGCTTCTTAAAATTTTCCTTGTTGGTCCCCAGAAAAAAAACCAAATTGTACAACTCTCTCTTTCTGTGTGGGCTAGTTCTTTATTTTTGATGATCAGGTGCATCTTCTGTACAGTCTGTGTCCTTCTTCCTGAACAGAGATAGAAAATAGTACAAGAAACTTGGACCCTTACCAAGGAGATGCACAGATTAGATCTCCATACAGGCAGTGATGGGAGTAGCGAAGATTTTGTTCCTACTGTCAACCCTGGGACTTCACAGATCTGTTTTTCACTTTGAGGATGATTTCTGCAATGAAAACAATGGTGAATTGCAGTTTGTGCTTGGCGATTAAAGATTACAAATCGCTCAACATGTTAGAAAATAGAGATATTTCTGCTATCAAAAAATCTGTTACTTTAACTGAAAAACGCAGAAGATTTCTGCAGTGCAAAACAGGAGACTTCAGGATGTGGAAGGTCAGAGCTTTTGCTGGCATAAGTTGGCAGAGCTCTGTTAAAGTCAGTGAAGCTACTCAGACTTGCAGCAGATGAGGAACTGATTCAGATTTTTTTTTTAAAAGTCTTTCTATTAGAAAAGACTATGTGACCTAAGACTACACAATTTTTTCCTCTCCTGCCCTACCCTGCCCTCTCTTTCTCTCCTTAAATGTTTGGAATTGCAGAACTGAATTAAATAAGTTGTCTCTGTGCCAAATGTTAGAGCTTCAGTATAATGGAGATCAATATAACAGCTAAAATGTGTTTATTTTTTACAGATTACCTTTTAAACAAAATGAGTTTGGATTATTCCCCATCTATTTCTATTATTTTACTGTTTTTCTGAATTCTTTCTTTTTTTGTCTTGGTAGAAGTGTCCCCTTATTGAAGCTGTTACACATTTTCACTATTTTTACTACAGTCAGGGTCAAAACAAGCCAAGTGATGCTTATTGAATGCAAGGAGAGGTGCATATGTATGATGACTGTGTGTATATAATTTAGATTTTTTTTGTAGAAAGGAGGGGATCCTCTTTTGTATAATTTTAAGGATTATTATTGGAGGGAAGTACCTGTAAGCAGCTTTTTAATACTTTGCTACTTTAAGGCATGGCATGATTTCTCTCTGTGCCTGCTGTCACCCTTGCAGCTAATCTAATCAAGGGAAATGTAAACATTTCCTCTGACTTTTGAGGAGGTAAATCGGAACTTGCATTTGTAACTGGAACATGTGTAACATGATAACATTTATAACTGAAAATACTGTGTTTTTAAGGTCTGTCAGCATGTTAAAACCTTGTAAATCATTATTCCTAAAAGGAGCTAGAATGGTCAAAGTTGATTTTTGTGTTTGTAGGCAATGTTTTTGTTTTTTTGGGGGCCCAAGGCTGCTGTCACCTGTTTATGAATTGAGGGAGGGTCAGTATTTCTCCACTGAGATAACTTGATTGCTTCTGAAGTTCCTCTGAATGGATATTAAAAAGAAGTAAGTTAATGTGAAGAAACCAGTTTTTCACAGTTGTTTTTACCGTTGCAGCAGTACTTTTGCTAAAAATATATGTTACTGTTCTTTTTCTGCAGATAGGATTGCCACGTGAAGCTTCGCTTGTAGGGAGCTGAAGGATTCTAAGCCGTCTTCTGTAAGTATCTAAGTAACATTTAGGTGCAGCTATGAACTAGAACTGAATTTTTTCATGTCTCTGTAGCAACTGTTCCTAAAAACTTTGTATAGAAGCTTTTTGTAAGTATTTGATGCAAGTTCTTTAAAAAAACGCCTGTGCTAAGAGGACAGGGAACTTGAATGAAAGTTCTGTATTGTCTACTCATTTACACTTCAAACCTTTGTAAAACGGTCATTTTTTTCCTTTCCAATGAAAAGCTCAAGAACTCTTATCTCCTCTGGTTTCTAAGTCAGAGAGTGAGACTTGTTTCTTTTTCTGCTTTGCCTCTTGGGGTCTCCTAAGCTATAGTGTGTGAATATAATCCTTGAGACCATATCATCAAGAAAACAGGGTGAAATCTTATCTGCCTCTCTGTAAGATTACAGGGTAAAGGAAATAAAATTGTTGAGAATCACGTGTCTGATTAGTGGCAGAGCCAGGAACAGAGCCTGGGTTTTATGATCATCAACTGGACAGATTGCTCACCATAGAGAGGGAAGGCATAGAGAGGGAAGGCAGCTCATGTATGACTGGAAAAAGCCTATCTCCAAAGCAGTTTGAACAGAAAGCTTCTAAATTATTAGCTAAATGTTGTAAGTCCCACTCCCTACGTTCACAAACTAGTCTTGAGAAGGTGTCAGGACAGTCAGTTAGTAAAAGCCATCTGTGCAGATGACAGATCTTGCCATGCAAAGGAGTAGATGGTATTTTGGGGACAGGGCAAAAGTCTGATGATGTTTAGGGAAAAGGCGTGCATCTGAGCTGTGGGTGATGTGTGCAAACTGCAGAGGGCAGACACTGAGAAAGCTTATAGGAGGTGTGTATGTGCGTGCATGTATGTGTGCGTAATACCATCATGGCTTGGCATACAAGTTACAGGTGTATACAGTTTTAGAACTCGGCTGACTTACTAATACATACAAAGTCATTTTTGGAGGTATCACTCCTCTGCGCTTCATCATGTTCACAGAGAAGAGTGCTGAGTGGTTACTACTTCCATAATGTGAATCATCTTCCTTCTTTTGGCCTGCCCCTCCCAGAGTGCACTATCTGATGGCAGATACCTTGTTAAACCTTGTAAGGTACTCTGCTGGGAGATAAGGTTAGAACTAAGTACAGATTGTTTTCTTGACCTTAAGTTAATATTTTTAGATTTGTGATTTTTTTATTTTTTTAATTTGAATTATTTTTTGTGGTCATTTTATACTTGTGCCTGTTCTCATCCTTTGAGCCCATACAATTCACTCAGTATAGCCAGGGCACTTAACAGCTGGTGGCCACATGGTTTTCTTGTTGACCTATGATGGATGTTAATACCTGAGATCTTTGCAAAGCCTATTTAACGCTTGGAGAATGAAAAGTTCTCCCTTTCTGTAACAGAATACTGAGGTATGTATGACTTACTAATGCCTCGTGTGCTGTTCTTGTGTTACACAGAAGACGTAGAAGTATGGAATGGTAATATTATTTTCACTGCTGTATACTGTGTTGCATGTATCGCTTGAAGGTTCGTTGGTAATAAGCCTCTGTTCGAACGTGTACTTCTCTGTACAGCTCACTTGTATTAGCAAACCTAGGTCAATAGTATTTCTAATGCTCTGTTCTATTTGTTTCTTCTTCTGTTTGCACAGGACCTGCGTGTACATCTACATTCATCTTGCAAGATGGTATTTCGGAAACCACCAGATGGTGGCTGGGGCTGGGTGATCGTTGTTGTTTCCTTCTTTACTCAGTTCCTGTGTTATGGATCACCGCTGGCGGTGGGAGTCTTGTATTTAGAATGGCTGGATGCTTTTGGAGAAGGGAAAGGCAAGACTGCTTGGGTTGGATCACTAGCAAATGGAATCGGATTGCTTGCCAGTAAGTGTAGATGCAGTATATATCTTAACATGCAATGTTTCCTTTGTATTAGATGCTTTGATCTGAGCGTGCTTTTGGAATTATACTGAAGACAGCTGCAGATGAGGGAAGTGAATGAGGATGCTGCATTTTTGTCTTAGGTTAAGATGACTTAAGAGCAATTACATTAGTAGTTCTACTATATAATACAAAAATACGATGGTAAAAGAGCAATAAAAATATTACCCTCAGAAAATCTGAAATTATTCTATTTGAATGAACTAGAAACACCAAACTACCTCTGAAAAATTGAATCTTAACTTTGTTGCTGTTGGGTTTTTTTTTTTTCCTGAGGCTTTGGGACTAACTTTTGCATTAGTATCTTTAAAATCAAAGCAACTGTTAGCCTAAAGTGTCACAAGCGTTTCAAAAGGAAAAAGGAAGGGTCAATTGATAAACCAGTTACTCCTTTTTAAGCTCCAGAAATAAAACTGCCAGTTAGGGGCAGTTTTCACTGTTTGTTTAACAAAAAAGCCTCCCTTTGAAGCCTGGAAAGTTGTGTATAACGGTGGCATCAAGTAAAACAACTTTACTGGGAGCTTTTCTTCGGTAAGAAGTTGTCTCTTGAAGAAGAACAGCAGGCTTTTGGAGAAACAAAACACCACTTTGGAAGTCCATAGGTCCATCTTTGTTGTTGTTTTAACCTTGAGCATGGGTATTGTACAGGGTAATACCACTAGCTTCTGCTGTTGAAAGATTCACCATAGAAACTATTACCTTTATACTGAATCTGGCAAAGAGTTTAATTGTCTGTCCGCAGAAAAATTGCTATGGGCAAAAGCAATTAAGTAACTTAATGGACAAAATCCAGTTCTAGATTCTGAGGAGATCTCTCCTTGAAAGAGAGTTGACATTCAAATGGTGATGCAAAACTGAGTAAGACCCGTTGCTTTCTGTGACTATATAGCTGGGGAAATACTCGTGCTACGCTCCTGTTAGGGATTTATATCACTAGACAGGACAGAAATGGGCAAAGGCAGTGGATCGCTAACCACAGGAAAGCTGTCTTCAGTCCCAGTGTGGAAATGGGCACAGGCTTGCAGGTTGCTCATTCATCATGCTCAGCACATACTCTTTTCCTGCTTTAAGGGCATTAATGCATGTGCGTAAAAGGATTAAGACCTAAATGAGTTTGAGTGATAGAAGGAAGTGGAGAAAAAGGCTGAACAAGATAGTTACTGAAGAATAGCTAGGCAGAAGGGGTATGCAAGAGAAGGAGTGAAAAAAACCTTCCCTCTGGAGACCAGAAGTCTCTGGCTCACAGCTGTTTGTTGATCACTCCTCTGACAAGAACTTCAGTCCGGTATGTCAACACCATACCAGTCTCCAGATTTCAATTCCCTCTGCCTAGCTGCTTTAGTAATGATCTGTATTGTGCTTTATAGTGAATACAAACTTCTATAACTGATTAATACCAAGAGAAGATGCTATTGTAACTCATTTTGGTATAGAATAATTAAATCACTTGCAATTTTATCGGGGCTGGGAGGAACTCTCTCTATCAGAGTTTGTTTATTCTTTCAGTTTAGAATTAGAAAGCGATTGACTTAATGAACATTTCTCTTTTGTAGTACCTTCAAAGAAAATTACAATTAGGATTTTTTTTTTTTGCACTGATATTATCAGAGAGTTGACTGAAAGCAAAACATACGTTCTCTGCTGTACCTGAATGAAAGACCCTACTGTCCTGTCAAGCTGGGATCTGACCCTAATAACTGTACTTAAAACTTGTTGGAGGAACGCTGTTGGCATCATAAGCACTACCTAAGACTAGAATGCCCTTGACATGTTAGAATTTCTTGGCTTGCTAGTACACTCCTGTACCTCTGGAAGACTCCCCAAGCCTCCTTAAATAGAGATGTTTAAAACTTGCACTCTGGGATTGATATAAACATAGTAATAATAATGATTACTGGTTGATTTGGGTGGACGTAGTAGGAAATGGGGGAAAAATCCTATTTCTTTCTAATATGAAATCATTTGTCTTGAGAGAATAACTTCTGTCTCTTTGATGATAAAAGCTTTCTATTGCAAATGAGGAGGAAGTTCCTTCTTATGGAGGGAGCTTAGCAAAGACTAAAAGAATTGAATTGATGCTCTTGAGTAGGCATATCTAGGACAAGGACGGTTAACTTGCGAAGAAATGAGCTACTGTACCATATCTTCTTTGCCCTCAGTGTGAGAGATCTGTTTCTCTCCCTTCACGGTGCAAGAAGCATGCATGGTATAAGAGTCACTGAGAAGCTCATAGGAATGCTTTCTAACTGGCTTAAAAGTAATATGAAA